TTTAATTATATCTTTTGTAAATTTTTATTCTTTGACATTAATTTTGAGATAAAACTAATTTTTGTGAGAATGATAAGCTCTTTTTTATTGTTTGAAGAACTATAATTTTTATCACATATTACTTCAACTTTCTCTTTGAATAATTTTCCTTTGTAGCAGAAATTATAATTATTGACATGTTTTAATAGTTGGTACAGTTTGTTATGGGTTGCTTTGTTGATTGGACTACACTGTTTTTATTTTGATTTAATAGTTTTGTTATTTTTCTGTTAAAACTAATAAAATTTTTATACAGTAGATTATTCTGAAATATTTTACAAAGTTTATAGACTATTTAGAAAGAAAACTAACTTTTTAGACTAATTTAAAATTAAACTAATAGTTAATAGACTAATTGTTGAATTAAGCCTTTCTGACCTGCAAGACGGTTTTCCTGTCCACAGACCCGAAGTCATCCCTGATGTACAGCAGAGCGCCTGATATCACACCTGCATATCCGCAATCCCAAAAAATTATCTAAGAAGCAAAACTAAATTTATGCAAAAAGAACATATATTGAAGCAGAAAGGAAAATAATGTTAAAAACCTGTATCATAGCCGAAAAGAAGCCCACCAATCCCAGCAGAAAAGGCCAGACGAAGAACATAAGGGTTCTTCCTTGTTAGAGAGAAACACTCTCTGAAAGCAGAGGCATCCGCGCCTCCATGAACACCTCCCTCCATTATTTCCTGTCACAACGAGTTCTTCACAGACCCTTTTGGAAACATAAAATGTATATTGAGGATTTGAAAGAAATTAACTGTGAGCAAGAGAGGAAGAGAGAAAGGAAAGTGGGTTGTCTTGGATTTTCCTGAAGACCAGAGGATTTCAGGGAAAACAGAGGAATTGAGGAATTGGGGATAATGGGAGAAAGAGGGGAGGATAAAATAATGATCCAGGTTCGGCTAGAGTCAATATCCTACCAAGTTTGTCACATGCTTTCGGGTTAAATTAACAAATAATCTATTAAATTTCACATTTTTTTCAGTTTTATCTATTATCTTTAAAATGTTTTAATCTTATCTATTATCTTTAAATTATTTTAATCTTATCTATTATCATTCATATTTATTTTAATTTCATTTAATCCGTTATCTTTAATGAAAATATTTATCATCTTTAACGAATCTTTTTATTTTATAAGAAAATATTTAATCTTCTAACTATATTTCTTTCGATCTTTTAGTTTATTAAATTTATATTTACCGTAAAAATAATTTTTATTATTATCTTACCAAATAATTTTTTCATAAAACTGTTTTACAAAGCAGATTATATGTAGTTCATCATATAAAATTATTTAAATGCTCTTAATTTTATTTTTATATTATTTTTTTAAAAATATTTAAATAATTTTACAGAACAAGCTGCTTATAGTCTATTTTATAAAACAGATTTACTCTTAAAACTTCTTATTCTAAACTTACTAAGTTTTTCTTTTTGATTTGAGTTAATCGCTTAAGTTTATTATAAATTCTAACTAATTTATCTCTATAAAACATTTCTTTATAAAATATTTCTTGAGTTACCATATTTTATTAGGTCATTATATTTTATTAGGATTATAATATCACTTTTCCAAAACTTAAAAGACTCATTTTTCCGTTAAATCTAACAAAATTTTGTATAATAGACTATTTTGAAATATTCTCCAAAGTTTATTGACCATTTAAAAAAAATAAACCTTTTTAACTAAAATAAAATTAAGTTAATAGTTAATAGATTAAAAATTGAATTAAACTTATGCTTATTGAGCAAAGGTGGATATGAATTTTAGTGCCTTCTCTATTTAAGGATAAAATTTTTTTCAATTTCTAAATCAGATAGTTACTTTCAAGATTTTTTAAATAAGGATACAAATTCTGCAAGTGTTCTATTTAAGGCTCTTTTTTTTTTTTTTGTATTAACTCCCAATATCTAGAAGCTACATTTGATTTTGACTAATCTAGAGTTAAGTCAGGTTAGATCCATAAAGAGGGAAGCTTTCCTAACATCTATTTTTTCGTTTACAATACTCAAATTCAAGATTTTATTTAAAAAAAAAAACTGAATTCCTTCTATTTATATTAATAAATCGTTGGTATTTAAGACTTCATATGTTAGTAATAATTACGTGGCTAACAAAATCCATAAGAGCATGTAAAATGGGAGTTCTCTTACATTGCTCTTTCTCAAAGGAGAACAAAGACAGAACTGTTAACCGTTGGAGTGCGTTTTCCAACTAAGCTTGTCTCTCTGTAGTCATTTTTTTTCCCCAAAAAGGGCCAAAAAGATGCATGTCAAGCAGTCCCATGTAATGTTGCTTGTTTTCGTTGAGAAGCGTCTACATGGCCAAAAAGTTTTTTCCTTTTTAAATTTTTTTATTAATTCATTTAAATAAAATAATGTTGTGTGATTTTTTTATTTTATTTTAAATATATGCATTTAAGAGAATGCGTTTTGCTAGGTGTTTTATTTAAAAGTTAAATTTAAAAAAATGAGTTTATATAAAACAATATTAATTATGATGATGTGACATCAAAATGAGTTATTTTATTGTTTTCCATTGTATATGCTCTTAGTAGACACATATTTTTCTTGACATGTTCATAAAAACCCCTTCAACTCTAATGATTAGACAAAACCAAAAAAGAAAGAAAAAAAAAGGTCAAGTGAGATCTTCATTTTTCCGACATGCCAATTTACCTTTGGCCCCATATTAGATTACTGTAAACATAATCGTTAAATAATTAACACTTACTCATCTTCTTCGATGACATTAATTTCTAACAACATTAACTCAAAATTGATTGGAATAGAAAGAAATCATACAAGATTTGAAGGCAATTATTTCTTAAACGTTAAAAATCATTTTGAATAGCTCCAAAAACTAGAAAACTTAAACTTCCCCAGGTGACCCATTTACAAAGGAAGCAGAGCAACAAACCCTAACCCTACTTTTCATCTTCTTCGTTAATTTTCCTCAACTAAATGTCCCTTCCTTCTCTCATTGCTAACTATATCAAAACCTAGAACTCTCAAATCAAACAAGCTTCCATCATCACGATGAAATCAAACCAGAATACTTGAGTACGGATTTTCTCAATAGGTAAAGTTAGCGACTATATATAAGGGATGAGTCAAATCCCTCCTGGAATTAAAACAAGAATGTGTGGCAACTGAAAATTGAAAGTTTGATTAGATAATAGAAAAGTAGACCGAGGAGATGAGCAGTTGATCCCTAATGTGTATGAAGAAGAGAAGAGAGAAGGATGGGATCTATTATCCTAGTGTGTGCGAAGGTTGATGGAAAAAGGAAAAAGGAAACAAAGAAGTGAAAAAAGGAAAAAAGGTATTTCTAAGCGTGGAATGTTGATTAAGATAGAGGATTAGTAATGGGAGAAATGGATATGGAAGTTGTGCACGGCGGAGGGTTTCAAAGAAGAGAGCAATTTGGGAAGAATTTGAAAACCTAAGGAAATTTGATGTGAGTAATTTAGGGAAGAATTAGAAACCTAGGAAATTTAATTTTGCATGGTTCATTTTATTTACATTAGCAGTTTGTTAAAAATTTTTGTCATCCATGTCACCATCACCCTCCAGTAAAGCTTTATATGGAAAACATGTAAAGTTCATATCCTTCTTTATAAAGCAATTGAAAGGTGACAATCTAATTTAAAAAAGGAAAAAATTTCTATCCTTACATAGAATTAGCACCAAACTTCATACCCTTATGTGGACCATTACGCTATGCTTACTCATCATCTGTGTCTATCCGTGGACCCTAAATTTAATATTTTTTTAAATTTCTTTTTAGGTGAAAAATTCCATATTGATTGAGTACAAGAGTATCTAAACAAGGTTGGTCTCTTTCGTTTATTTTTTAATTGGTTATAGGTAAACAACAATTAGATGTATAAGTAAACAAACAATTTTACAGGTCAACTAATCAACTATAGGCCTATTTGATTCCCAAGTGATTTTTTCTTTTAAATTTTTCTAAAATTTCTCTTCATATAAAGTTATTTATATATTTTTATACATTAATATTTCAATAATATTTTTAGTTTTTATTTTTTCTAACATAATTTTTAATTTATAAATTTTTTTCCCACATTTTTTAAAAGAAAAGAGTTTTTCCTAATGATTTATGTAAAACTTTTATAACAACTTTTTTACTAACTTTTTTTATGCTACTTTTTACTTAATACATAAAAATTAATAATTTAACAAAATTCTAATAAGATTTTACTATAAAATTTATTAACTTTCTATACAATACATTTTTAATCACTTTTTTAATAAAATTAACTTTCTAATCAAACATATCTATACAATATAAATTTTAGGCAAAAACTACTCTTAAGCCCCTAAACTTACCCAAAATTAGAATTTAATCCCTTGAAGTAAAAATAATGCAATTAAGTCCTTCAACTCCTCAACTGGTGCAAACAAGTCCTTCAACTTAGATTTGTAGCAAAAAGTGCCGACACCTATTTTATTGTGTTGACACTCTAAGTAGTTTTCAATTTAGAAAACTTGTATTTTTAATTTAATCCTGTTTTTTTTTTTGTACTTCCTTTTGCCTCAATTAATTTGCAATTGACTCGAGTCAAATCTCATAAGACAAAAAACTATTCTAGTATTTATTTATCTATTTATAAGACTAAAACTTGAAACTTTATTTAAGAAAAATTAAGTTATTTTTGAAAAATTAAGTTATTTTTATTTAAATTCAAAAGTCATTAGAAATTTCGCCTTACTTTTTTACTAGATTTTTTTAAAATAGACCAAAATCTGAAGTTTAATTATAAAATAATTACATATCTCATTTTCATTAATAAAAGTTGAAGATACTACATATATTATTCGTGATTCATACATTACAAAAGAACAATGTATCTGCTATCTTTAACTTTTATTAATGAAAATGAGATATGTAATTATTTTACAATTAAACTCCAAATTCTGATCTATTTAAAAAAACTCTAGTAGAAAAGTAGACGAAATTTCCAACGACCTTTGGTTTTAAATAAAAAAAACTTAGTTTTTCTTAAATTAGGTTTTAAGTTTAAGTTCTATAAACAGAGAGATGTGAACTAAAAGAGTTTTTTTTTTTATAAGATCTGATTTGATTCAATTTCAAATTAATTGAAATAATAAAAAGTACAAAAAAAAGGATTAAATTAAAAATACAAGATTTCTAAACTAAAAGCTACTTAGAGTGTCAACACAATAATATAGGTGTCGGCACTTTTGCTGCAAATCTAAGTTGAAGTGCTTATTTGCAGCAGTAGGGAAGTTGAAGGGCTTAATTGCATCATTTTTAATTTAAGAGCTTAAATGATAATTTGAAATAAGTCTAAGAGCTTAAAAAGGGTTTTGCCTAAATTTTAAACCCAACACTTACAAGTTACAATAGTCTAAATTCTTCAAAGTGAGTCAAAATCAAAAAGTAAAAAATAAAAAGTAAAAATCTGAGGCTCCAATCCAGTTGTCCACGCGTGAACTTATTGCATATTTTCTACCGACCTAGTTAACAGACAAGTAATTTTCTTCCGTTTGGTGGGCTCAAATATCTAGGTGTGAAAGCTACCATTTTTTTTTTCCCGTCTCTTCTCCAAATAGGTCATTGGAATTTCGGCCGAATGTGTCCTGATGAATCTAAAGCGGTCGAAATTTTTGGTTTGAATTCATTCTTTTCATTTTTTTTTTTTTAATGTTGAAAAGATTGAGGAGAAAAGAAGTCGAAGCAAAAATGATCTCAAATATAAAAACTGGATAAGCTAAGCTAGAGTTTAGTTCTTTCATGCCTCGATTGAGAAACAATGTACATATATATTCCGCATTGATTCTTCTTGGGTTTGGA